GCATACCTGAGGTAGGCTTCCCAGAAGCTCACTGTTCTTTGCCTTGGTGGCACCAGCCATTTTAGCCAACCTGCAATGCCATTTTAAGATAAACCTCTTCTCACTAACGCTCTGGTATTCGTCTCCTTTTTTATGTTGCGGCTTTTGAGCAGGGTCGTAACATAAGTGGGGGCTCGTCCGGGATTGTTTGGACAATTTTTTGGGACTGAAATCAGTTTGTTTTACTTTTAAGTGGGTGAGTGAAGATGTTCACTGTGATTGAGCAACGTCCCTTTAGTAAGTGTGTTTTAGTTGGGTAGCTGTGCTGCCCTTCCATCGCAGCACTTGTTTGTTGTTTTGCTTTGTTGTTGTTTTCATTTGTTGTTTGGTGGTACACCACTGAAGACTAGGTAGGTGAAGTTAGAGTTTTATTGTTTTTAGCGTTTTAGGTTGGGAGTTGCACATAGTAAATCAGCGGCACCAAACTTGGCAGGAGGTTTGAGACCATTAATTCTGGTCTTGTAGCTGAGGCAGGTAGGCCGTTTTTAAGTTGGCATTGCGTGTACATCATGTGTGTGCATCTAATGTCAGTGTGGATGGATGCTAATGGCATCCTCATAAGGTGAGTGTTTTGTGCTGTGGCCTTTATTGTGGCAGAGCATGTGGCTACTTTGGTTAGATCACTTCTGAGCAATCATTGTGTGGCCATTGCTCTCTGTTTGTGGTTGGTCACTAGCATGCTTTCTTTACTGAACTTTGGAGTTTAAAGTGACTTGTTGTGGTATAGGGCCACTTGTATGTGACCATTTGTGAGGTGGAGACAACAGATCAGTTGGTTGCGATTATTTGTTGCTACTTTTGGTTTTGTGTTGTAGCAGATCAAGTAATTATTTTGGGTGTGACTGTCGTGCTCCTTTGTGTTGGTGACTGTCGTGCTCCTTTGTGTTGGTCACATGTTACTTTTCGTGTGTTCAGTGTGGTAACTTCAAAATCCTCATGCAGGGGCGTCCCTGTTTAAAAATGCCAGCTAAAGAAATGTGAGTATTTAGTTCTATGTTAGAGCTGGTAATAAAGTGCTTAAGTTTATGCTTTGGCTCAAGCTTATGTTTGAGGGATCAAGGTCCAGAGGGGCTTTTTAAAAATTTAGGGGTCCTAGAGGAACCCTTTTGAGGGAGGAGGTGTTACGCAACCAGCTCCTCTGCAGCCCCTAATCTCCTCAATGTGTTCAGCTGGTGCTATTCGTCTCCTTATGTTACGACCCTGCTCTAAAGCCACAACATAGAAAAGGAGACGAATACCACAGTGTTAGTGAGAAGAGGGTTTTATCTTAAAATGGCATTGCAGGTTGGCTAAAATGGCTGGTGCCACCAAGGCAAAGACTAGTGAGCTTCTGGGAAGCCTACCTCAGGTACAGTGGGGCAAAAAAGTATTTAGTCAGCCACCGATTGTGCAAGTTCCCCCACTTAAAATGATGACAGAGGTCAGTAATTTGCACCAGAGGTACACTTCAACTGTGAGAGACAGAATGTGAAAAAAAAATCCATGAATCCACATGGTAGGATTTGTAAAGAATTTATTCGTAAATCAGGGTGGAAAATAAGTATTTGGTCACCTCAAACAAGGAAAATCTCTGGCTCTCACAGACCTGTAACGTCTTCTGTAAGAAGCTTTTCTGTCCCCCACTCGTTACCTGTATGAATGGCACCTGTTTGAACTCATCATCTGTATAAAAGACACCTGTCCACAGCCTCAAACAGTCAGACTCCAAACTCCGCCATGGCCAAGACCAAAGAGCTTTCGAAGGACACCAGGAAAAGTATTGTAGACCTGCACCAGACTGGGAAGAGTGAATCTACAATAGGCAAGCAGCTTGGTGTGAAAAAATCAACTGTGGGAGCAATCATCAGAAAATGGAAGACATACAAGACCACTGATAATCTCCCTCGATCTGGGGCTCCACGCAAGATCTCATCCCGTGGGGTCAAAATGATCATGAGAACGGTGAGCAAAGATCCCAGAACCACACGGGGGGACCTGGTGAATGACCTGCAGAGAGCTGGGACCAAAGTAACAAAGGTCACCATCAGTAACACACTACAACGGCAGGGAATCAAATCCCGCAGTGCCAGACGTGTTCCGCTGCTGAAGCCAGTGCATGTCCAGGCCCGTCTGAAGTTTGCCAGAGAGCACATGGATGATACAGCAGAGGATTGGGAGAATGTCATGTGGTCAGATGAAACCAAAGTAGAACTTTTTGGTATAAACTCAACTCGTCGTGTTTGGAGGAAGAAGAATACTGAGTTGCATCCCAAGAACACCATACCTACTGTGAAGCATGGGGGTGGAAACATCATGCTATGGGGCTGTTTTTCTGCCAAGGGGACAGGACGACTGATCCGTGTTAAGGACAGAATGAATGGGGCCATGTATCGTGAGATTTTGAGCCAAAACCTCCTTCCATCAGTGAGAACTTTGAAGATGAAACGAGGCTGGGTCTTCCAACATGACAATGATCCAAAACACACCGCCCGGGCAACAAAGGAGTGGCTCCGTAAGAAGCATTTGAAAGTCCTGGAGTGGCCTAGCCAGTCTCCAGACCTCAACCCCATAGAAAATCTGTGGCGGGAGTTGAAAGTCCGTGTTGCTCGGCGACAGCCCCAAAACATCACTGCTCTCGAGAAGATCTGCATGGAGGAATGGGCCAAAATACCAGCTACTGTGTGTGCAAACCTGGTAAAGACCTATAGTAAACGTTTGACCTCTGTTATTGCCAACAAAGGTTATGTTACAAAGTATTGAGTTGTGTTTTTGTTATTGACCAAATACTTATTTTCCACCCTGATTTACCAATAAATTCTTTACAAATCCTACCATGTGGATTCATGGATTTTTTTTTCACATTCTGTCTCTCACAGTTGAAGTGTACCTCTGGTGCAAATTACTGACCTCTGTCATCATTTTAGGTGGGGGAACTTGCACAATCGGTGGCTGACTAAATACTTTTTTGCCCCACTGTATGCTTTTATCCACACCTGACTAGGTGTGGCCAGTTAGCACCGGCTGAACACATTGAGGAGATTAGAGGCTGCAGAGCGGCATAACAGATGGGTGGTTGGGGGAAGAAAGAAGGAACTTAAATTGGATCAGTTAGACATCTGTCAACAAGTGCCATGGCCTGTAATCCCTTCATGGATACTTTCTGAAGCAGCTGTAGGTTTTGCTTTATTGCACCAGAAGAGTAAGGACAAGGCAGGCGGTCTCGACTTAAATTCAGTTCAGGGTTACATTGAACAGTAATGTGGGTATGTGCAAGTATATACGTGTGCTTCAAAGAATCCAGCCAGTCAAGTGGGGGTAGCACTAGTAATTCTGGACTTTATGGTAGAACTTAGAAAGAGGATTAATGATTATCTGTTTACAGGAGAAATGATAGCAATTCTATTAGCGGTTCAGTGGGTGGAAGATTTGAGGCCATTGAAAGCAATTATTTGTTCAGATTCAAGAGCAGCCTTGGTCAGTCTACAGAGCGGTCATTCGGAAAGTAGATCAGATATTTTAATAGAGATTCAGCAAACTCTTTTCAGAATACATATGATGGGTCTGTCAGTGTTTTCATGGGTTCCCAGCTCACTATGGGGTAAGGGGGAATGAAGCAGTGGATGGGTTAGTAAAGGAAGCTACTAATTATAGGATAGTTGATCTGGCGGTGAGTTTTGGTCAGGTGGAAGTTAAGACTGTTATTAAGCTAGAAATGAGGGGTAGAGGTAAACAGTGGGAAGAAGAAAGGAGGGGAAGGTGGGAATAAGGAGAGCCACAAGGAGGTAGGAGGAGGAGGTGGTGGTGGTGTCAAGACTGAGAGTTGGACATACAGGATTGAATTCTACACTGTTCTTTATAGGGAAACATAATTCAAGGACATGTAACTATTGTGGAGAGGAGGAAACTTTGGAGCATGGTATTTTGTAGTGTCGGAAGCATAAGGTAGAGAGGAGACAACTGGTCCAAAGTCTCGATAACATTAACTTGAAATTAGATCTTATTAAGTTATTGCAAAAGGAGTTGGGGAATAAAAGCTGTCAGGCTCTGTTTCAGTTTTTGAGAGAAGGTAGTTTGGAAGGATACGAAGTAGGTTGGTTTTGTTTGTTTTTGAGCGCGATTCCTGTCCACACTCCATATCAGTGGTGGCGGTAACGCACCCTGCAGTTGTTTGCCAGTTCAGTCAGTTCTTTGTATATTAGACAATTAGTAATGGGGTGTTTGAGACATTATTTTGTACCTTCCTTGAAGTGCAGTAGTTATAGGTCGTAGCTTCTGAGCTAATGATACAAGTGTACACTTGCCCACTACCTGCTTATTGTTCTTTGTATTAATATCAGATTGTATATCTACAGGATGCTTATCTTGAAGTCTCCTATGTTAGTGGCTAAATACACCTACCTGCTGATTATATGACAATCATTAAGAGTTTAGTTTTATGTGTTTCTAGTTTCACTCCAGTTCAATGATGTCAGTTCAACACTATGTTCGAGGAGTAAGTACGCTCCCCTCCCTGGCTCTTGAGTTTGGCTGGCTGTTTATCTATGTTCACGCTCAGTTCAACACATAGAGAGAACAGTACAGATACATTCAATCAATTTCAAATTTTAATTCAGTTTGGCCATGTTCAAATCTACATGAATAAAAAGGACAGCCACAGTATTAAATACAAAGTTTAGAAGGTGACTAGTGGAACCTACCTCTGTTATACAGCAATCCACAAAAGTAAAGTTACCATTAAACGTTAAAACAGCGTGCACTCACATTCTACCATGAAGGAAGCGATCAGGTCAGACGCAAAAGGCTACTGTGCCATCCTGCCTAAGATTGTTTCTTCCGCATCTTAATTTGTTTTAAGCGAAAACAGTTCTGTGCTCTGTTCGATCTATCAGTCATCTCCTATAAAACAAGCCTAGCACCAAATACCTCTGTATTTTTAAGAAGCTCTGCAGTTATTAAAAAGCATCAAATTGTGTCATTCCTACCCTTTCTGCTGATCACTTTAGCCTTCAGCTGAATACTTCTTCTTTTAATGCGCCTGCTGTTTTTCAAACCAGTGTTTGAGGGGACGTTTATAAGAGCAAACAAGCTGGTGGGAGACGGGGAGGGGCAGAGCGAACTTGTTCTCCATCTCTGGCTCCCATCCAGCAGAGCGCCTCCTTCGCTTCCTGTTCTGTTTTCCTACATTCCAGACAAGCAGCGATACACAGACCTTTGTGGAATAATCCTAAGACCCTCAGACTGTTACAGGAGGTAAGGTTGGGCTGCTTTTTATTTGTTTTCATCTTTGACAGTTGAATAGGATACACAAGCCCACGCGCCTTTCACAGTCCACGTTCTGTTGTTTTGGCACTATTCATGTACATATTAGAAAGAATGTGTGCACACACACACAGTGAGTGTAGAAAGTGCACTTTATTTGCACCAAATTTTTTATTTTTAGATATTTAAAGAGGGAAAAAAGCATAAAAATGGAAATAGACGCATTCATTTTGTAGTAAATTTTTTTAGTGTTTGATGTGTTTTTATTCATATTTATTATACATGTTGTTGCTGTATAAAGCTCATTTAAAATATATATATATAT